GAGAGAGAGAGAGAGAGAGAGAGAGAGAGAGAGAGAGAGAGAGAGAGAGAGAGAGAGAGCGAGAGAGAGAGAGAGAGAGTGTCGTGGGAAAAATTTGCATTACATGGTTCTTAAAGCTGCATATTGCCTGTATGCTTCTTCTATGCAATGCAATGCAGGATAAGTGTCATGCACAAAGCATATGAACTTCAGTACATAGCTGCAGACTTGTGGGCCATGTTTTTACTGCCGAGCTCTGTGGTGCATGTCTTGTGCCCTGAATTTGGTTCCATTGGCCAGGGAAAACCCATTGACCTCAACAGATTGACAATTACTCACTGTCTGGTGGAAGCAGTGGTGGCATCGAAGTCGCCGATGGTAAACAAACAAGTTCAAGAACTGCAATTTCGAACACGTTACAATGCAGCAGTTGTTGCAGTTCACCGCCATGGTACGAGGCTAAAAAGGTCAGCGACAGCATGACTTTAAGAAGACCAATTGTGCATGATTCCACCAATGAGCATACTTGTCGAAGTTGTCGTGCACGCGAATGGTATACTTGTGCGGTGAGCCAAAAATGGGTAAGGTGCATCAACAATCCAGCAGTTGAAAATTGTTAGTTTAGAAATATGGAAATTCAACAACATTCGCAAAAAGAACTGTCGTAGGTCATTATGTGGTAATGTTCCCACCACTGAAGAGAACTGTGTACATAATTTTCTCTGCGATCTGGGCTGTGTGCTGAAGGATGGTCCGGGTGTGTGGCAGGTTGGCTGAGGATAGGGGGCCATTCCGTGGTAGTGCACCACTGCACCCGGTACTAAAGGAATTTGTGAGCGCCATTTCTCTGTACATCTGGGCTGTGTGCCGGTGGATGGCCCAGTGCATGGCAGGTTGGCTGTGTATTAGGCCATTTGATGGTGTATGGCCCTCCCAATTTGTTTTCGGTATTGCCTGAGGAAGGTTTACAGGCTTTCCTGATTTGTTTTAGGCGGTGGAGGGGCTTGTAGGCCTTTTTCAACACAGTAGTGGGCCTACTGGCACTTTCTTGTCTCTGCAACTTAGAGCAGGCAGCCTAAACGAGATTGGGAGGACAGGTTGACTTTGCATGCCTGAAGAGTCTGCTGATGCCGAGTACTTGTTTGTGCGTGGCGTGTGCGTGTGTGTGTGTGTGTGTGTACGTGTGTGTGTGTGTGTGTAATGTGTATGAGAG